ATGTGTGTGTGTGTGTGTCTGTCTGTCTGTCTGTCTGTCTGTCTGTCTGTCTGTCTGTCTGTCTGTCTGTCTTTTTCCTTTCCTCATGACCTCTCTTCTCCGTCTTCTCTCTTATGTACAGGGCTCAGTATCATAAACTGTTTTCTTTTTTTTCTGATCTTCTTAAACTAAGTCTCTAGTCCAACTCTCATTATTAATGTATATTGTTTTCTTAAAAGCTAAAAAAAAATTCTGTTGATCATCTACTAATTGATCTATATTTACTTTTCTGTGTATGTTACTCAGGTTCCCTCCCTGACACCAAACAAAATATCAGACCCTTAAGGGCAGAAATTGGTTTTTCTGTCTTGATCCCTAATGCACATAGTTTTTCATAAAATCTGTTGAACTGAATTTAATTACCACATTGATTTTGATAATAATGTAATGAAATAAACATAAACAAAAAATTACTTCGCAGTACAAAACCTTTAGCTCTGAAATATTCAGTATGCCTAAATGCTGCATAATGGCCTCAGAGAAAAGTTGAGAAAACACGTTTTCCCATCTTCATTGCTGAAATGGGGGGCTATGGTTATAGAACACTATATATACTGTCAGACATAAGATGTAGTGGTTGGTTTTGCTGAACTTTTTCAAATCTCTGTTACAATAGGAAAGCTCAATGAGTAAGGGAAAAGAAGAGGGTTATACTAAGAAATGAATATGCTATAAAAAGAAAAGGTATCAGTTAAATAAAAAATAGAAATATTCAGTTTGCTAAAAAATGCTATTAAGAGAAGCTTAGAAATTCTAAAATGAATCAAATCCTATTATTCCAAAAGATTTATTACCTTATTTTGATCTGACCTTTTTTTAATACCATTCATTTATGAAAATATCCCTTCTACTCAGAAAGCCAATCCCTATAACAAATATTTAAAAAGAAAGATTTTTAAAAAGCAGTTCAGCAAAATTAACCAACTTATAGTTCTATATGGCTTATAATATATGCAATATCCCACAGAGGTCCTTGACCTCTGCAACAAAGGGATGAAGTATGTTATACCCAAGGCTTTAAAGTCTCCTGCCCCCACATTTCAAGAAATATTTGATTGAACAAAATTAACAACAAAATAAGTTGGGCAATCCATTGGAGTTTGTGGTAATAAAACAGGACCTGTATACAAATGAAATTATTCTTCAGGCTCATAAGGGAGCACCTGGCTTTTAAACCTATAAGCACTGAATAGCATATGAACCTGCAACAGTGAATAACTATTAAAGAGACTGGATTTGATATGCAAATAACAGTTTTTGGTATGAATGATGTTAGCACTTACCAAAATCCCACTGACAAGGGTCACTTCAAACATGATGGGAAGAAGATTAAATACTAAAGCACTCAGGACAAAACTGATACCCCTTGTTCCTCTGTCAATAGCCTTTGACAGAGCTCCTGTCTGTCTGCTCAGGTGGAAACCCAGATCCAAGTTGTGAAGGTGGAGAAAGACATTCCTGGCTATTCTTCTTATGGAATTTTGGGCCACTTTACCAAATACTGCATTTCGAACTTCATTAAAAAGGGCAGCTCCAGCTCTTGACACACCATCTAAAATCATATTTAAAACAAAAAATTAAAAGGAAGGAAACACAATGCAAACACCCATGACAAGGACATTCTTATTTCGAACTTTCCATATTGTTGGCAGGGACACTGGAAGAGTACTAAGAACTAATGTACAGTTAGCACATTAATGAAGTTAACTGGGTGGAACTAAGATCTACCAAGAACTAATGTACAGTTAAAGATTTTACCTAACAGTCTATAAATAAAAATTTATTTCATTGTGGAGGGGATCTTAAAGGGGCATTTATTACTGGAAGTTTTTGTTGTGATTTATACTTTGTTCTAAGACTTGAAAAATATAACTCAGGCTATAGAATCTGGGAATGGATATTAATTAACATGAGGTTTAAAAACTAAACAAAACTGCCCAAAAGAATAATAAACACATTAAATGCTAAGTTGTGTTAGTAGTGAAAAGGTTATGTTAGCTCATCTATGACAGACTCCTTCCAGAAGAAAATTAACACCTGTAGACAGATGAAAGAGCACTTACAGCCAATCAGAACTGCTGTTGCCATGGTTGCAACTGTATTTGGTGCATCACTCAAGTTTAACATATCTCCTGACATCTGGTTGAGGTTGTCGACTGCATATTTAAACATGAAGGGAACTACTATATTCATGGCCTTAAAAAAAAAAAAAGCAATTATCCATACTGTGCTGAAATATTTATTCATAAATGCATAAATATTTACCTTATATTAGTGCCTGGCATCTTATTTGTAACTTAACCACTCAATGACAGTAGGACAGTTATATCAGAAAAAATACTTGAGATTGGGAGCAGTCACTGCACAGATTGTACTTCCCATTGACCCCAATCTGTAATATTCATTTACAATGCTATAAAAACGATTAACTGTCACTTCCTCCATAAAGACTTCCCAGTTCACCCTAACCAGAAGTGATCGATACGATCATGGGATTTAGAGCTAGAAGGAGCCTTGGAGATCATCTTAGTCCAAACTTTTCATTTTATAGTTGGGCAACTAAAGCCCAGAGAAGTTAGGTGATTTTCCCCCAAAATCATATTGGTAGTAACTCTTCCTCCTATCATTCTTCATTTGTACCATTCTTATCATACCAGTCCAAGTCAACAAACATTTATTAAGTGCCTACTACATGCCAGGCACTATGCTAAGCACTGGGGATAAAAAGACCTATCCTCTGCTCTCAGGGAACTCACAGTCCAATAGACTACCTTGTATTGCCTTTTCCTGTAGATATCTGTGTACACGTCTCTGCCCTGATGGACTAAAGCTCCCTGAGGGCAGGGTGTCCAAGTTTTGTTGACAGGCAGCTATGACTTAGTCAAAGGTTCTGTGTTCTAGCCCTGGATCTCTTCTACCCATGTGGCTTTTGGCAAATCTCTTCCCCTTCTCAGGGTTTTCCCAGATAGACAGAGCAAGCGAACATTTAAGTGAGAACCTACTATGTGCCAGGCACTGTGCTAAGTGCTGAGGATACAAATACAAGCAACCAAGACAGTCTGGTACCCTTGAGGAGCTTACATTCTAATAGGGAGCTGAAAGTGAGGGAGTGAGTATCCATATGTGGGAAAAGGCAGCTGTCAAGAAATCCAGAGAGTAAGTTGAGGCGTTGTAAAATGGGAAGATAGGACTAGACAACTTCAAATGTATCTTCTAATTCCTATGATGATATGACTTTAATTTCCTTGAGTTCCTTTAACAAGGTATTTCTTAATCCCCTAAGTATCAAGTACAATTCCCTGTACGTGAAGATTCAATTAATGTTTCTGAATGAAAAACTGAAAACAAAACTACCTCACTACATAGTCACAGTTTATTTAAATGATGGTAAAACTGACAATATTTAAAATTAAATATCAATAACTGAAATTTGCTATAATAGAACACTAGTAAAAAGTATAATCAACTCCAAAATACAAATTAAGCTTTTAAAAGTCAACATATGGTTGAACCACAGGGTAATCTCACATCCCAAAATTTCTCCAAAGTTATCAGATAGTCAAAGGAATGAGTTTGAATTCCAGGTCTTCTATTTACTACCTATGCAACCTTGAGCAAGACGGCTAACTTGCCTGGGTCTTGGTATCCTCATCTGTAAAATGGGAGGGTTGGACTAGGTATGTGGCCTCTCAGGGTTATTCCAGCTCTAAATCTATAAATCTAGGAGCAAGAGGTCTATCAGACTCACATTGTACTTGAGGAAAAATTCAATTCATGCACATAAAGAACATGTGCATTCATTTCCTTTGGAAATTTATCTAGAGAATGACGCTTGGCGTTATGTGTGTCGATTCCCTAGATGGAATCAAGAGCCAACGCGCAATAGGTAAATGGTCAAAAGAAATAACTTTTCAAAAGAAACGAAAACCATAAATGATCAAGTCTCAAGTTGCTAATAATAAGAGAAATGCAAATCAAATAACTGCAGTTTCACTTCAAAGGTAACCCCCCAAAAAATTCCAAGCCCCAGTAACACATAATGTTTGAGGGACGGTGAGAAGACAGATCCAACTATGGGTGAAGTCCAAACATTCTGGATTCAATATGGAATTACTGAAAAGTGAGTAAAGGTTCAAGAAGTCCCACTATTAAGAACATACTCCAAGGAAATAAATGACAGAAAACAAAAATTCAATATATACAAAAATATTTACAGCAGGATTCTTTGTAGTAGCAACCAGTCAACCAAATCAAGCATTCGAGGTGGAACTATGAGAAGGGGAAAGGAAACAAAGATGTATATCTTTAGATATATTCAGATAACACACAGACACACAGACACAGACACAGACATAGACACACATATACACGTGCATGCACACATGCATGTATATATAATTTTCAGACCTAGAAGGGGTCTGAGAGATCATTTAGTTCAACCTCTACGTTTAATAGATGAAGAAACTGAGACTCAAAGAGGAAAAATGACTTGCGTCCAAAGTCATAGAGCTAGTATAATAAGGCAAAGCTGGGATTTGAAACTAGATTCTCTGATTTCCAATCAATCAACCAACATTTATTAAGCACTTACTCTATGCTAAGCACTGTAAATAGGTGCTGGGAATAGACAGATAAAAAATAAACTACCTGTACCCAACAATCCAAATTCTAGTGGGGACAATAATACATGTAACTATATATAAAATATGGACCAAAAAAAAGTAATTGGGCATGGGAGGGCATTAGCATCTCTATGATACGGGTTCTTATCCTTTCTAGTATCATGGATCTCTGAGGCATTCTAGTGAAGCCTACTGACTCCACATAATAATGTTATTAAATGAATAAAATATATAGAATTACAAAAGGAAACCTATTATATTGAAATACAGCTACCTCCTTACCTACCTAGCTATCTAAAAAGTTCATGAACCCTAGGTTAAGAAGCCCTGCTGTTAGATATAACAGAGAGAACTTATTTTCTATGAGCCTTTGATTACTAATATAAGGAAACACATGCTTGCCAAAGATAATTTGCTGCTGTCATGCATGGAGAATGTCCAGAGCACAGTCTAAGTCAAAGTAAGATTCCTTATAGATAGAGGTCTTCCAGATGTTCCAGATAGTATACTAGTTGCATCAAGCTGTGGAATACCGCCAAGTCTCCTAAACAAGAGGCTCTATAATCACCCAAAGAGTTTGGCTAACTATCCACATAGGAACAAACAAATAGATAAAGAATTACTACTGTCCAGATTATAAGAAGTTCAACTGCACCTAGAGAACCAGTGTTCATTAGTGTATGTTCACATGCGTATATATGTACGTACACACATACACACACGCACACACCCCTTGGGCAGACACCGCAGACAGAAAATGAAATGGAGGCAGGATTAAATGGAAGGATGAGAGTAGGCTAAATTGCATTTGGGAAAGTGTGCTTTTCCCTGAAAGAAAAATTCATCTATTTAATACTAATATTCTCCAAGTAATTTTATATGGCTACAAAACATGGAATTCCACAATCTCTCAGAAATCAAAATCGTGAGTCACCCAAAGAGCAATGAAAAGACATATGGTAGGTATAAAACAGTTATTACCAATGATAACTTGCACATAAGAAATGATGTAAAAAATATCATTAAAGAGACATAGGCCCAGAAAAAGGAAGTAAGCCAGTCATGTAGTGAGAGTAAGGGACAACAGATAGACAACTCATGTGCTACTTTGGCACATATGCAATGTTAAGAGTTCTAGAACGTTGAACAAACCTGCCAAGGCTCATGAGAAAAGATGGACAAGAAGTGCACGGTAAAAGAAGGCATGAAAGATTTGTGATCTGCACAGTTGAAAAGGGGGCTCACATTGATGAAATCACATACCCATTGAAGTATAAGAACACGTGAAGATTCTGCAAGGCTTAAGAAAAACAAAGAAATCCCAGCTCCCGTTAACATTCCATTCTTACACCATTCATTTTTACTAAATATAAAGCCTGTACTGACAACAATCCTAATTTTAGCTACAACTGATAGAAGCTATTTAAATCTTACCAATCAAGGCTCCAATATAAGGTATATGAGTGTCTTAGCAACTAAGCAGGTGTTTTAACACCCAACAATATCATTAAAGTACATAGCAGATGTTGGAAAGCTTTACAAAATGAAGGAACTTCGTGTTATGTGTGACATTGAAGCAAACTGTTTCGAACTTTGAAAAGAAAACAACACATCTACAGAGTAGTAGATTGGATTTCTGACTTTCCAAATGTAATCCGAATGAATATATGACTTCTTTCAAAGAAAAGACAAGTCTGAATATATTTGTGGTCTGATAGATGCCAGCCACTGTAAAGTTATCAACCACTGAATTGTCTGTACCCCATCTCTTTAAGTCTGAGCCACTAGACCATTACCGACAAGTTCAGAAATTCAGGGACACGTCAATCTAGAGCTCAGTGATTCTGCATTATCAGCCTTGTTGTGGATTTTGCTCTAGACACAAACTGGGCTAGTCCAACGTAACCAATGTAACCAAGCCCCCTTTACTATGCATCCCAATAACTGGATCCCTGCCTGACTGCCCTGTGGCCAAGCCCCTCTTCTAATACCATCCTCTAGTAGCCTTTAGAAGTGTTGTCTTACCTGGTTCGTGCTAGTCATACCAGGAATTGCAGTCTTCCCCCAGACTCCTGCCATAAGACAAGCTGGACACCATTCTCCATATGTTCCTCAATTCCACCCATACTTCTTTCACCTTAATGCAAAACCTTTTCCACACTTGCCTAGACTACACGAGCCTTTGAACAGCTCTCCCAGATACGTGTCTCTTCTCTCTCTCATCTGTCTTTCATATAGCTTTCAAAGTGATCTTCTGCTAACCAGAAAAAATGTCACAAGTCCATGAGACTCCTAATGCAGAGTTTTGATGATGTCACTTCTTTGCTTACTTTAATGACTCCTTACTGAGGTCAGAATAAAATAGAAACTCCTCAGACTGGCAGCCAAGATCCTCCACAATCTAGCTTTCCAGCTTTATTTCACATTACTCCTCTTAACACACTATCTTCCAGACCAAGTAGAATGCTAGCTACTCCCTGATCTCATTCTTCACTCTCAAGCTCCTTTCATACTTGCATGTTCTCCATGCATTCCTATCACCCATGTTCTCTCTCTATATATCTGGAGAAATCT